ATGCAAAAGAAGGATGTGTTTGGTCAAAATGTTGCCATGCGAAGGAGTCCGAACAATGACGCATGACGTTGGGCTCACACACATGTCGCGCATGCCATGTCATATCATTAGCGGTGGCATTTGATGCATACATCCTTTGTAATCATGGGGTTATCGAAAAATAATATATTTTTTTATAGGGGACAAATGTTTGTCTAATCGAACCCCGCGTAGGATTTCGATATCGAGGATGATCACATATTTTACAAGAGATTCTCCGATCGTCCCGACCCCAATAAATCATGCAACCACTAATGCAACAAATGGATCTTTTCTACGAGCAAACCCATCATTTCTATCATTTTTTTGTACTATAAAAGGCTTCGGCATACAAGTTATCGGGAGGCATCAACTCTTTCATAAGTTGACATAAATCGTCGTAACACCTCTTCGAAAAATGATGCTCGGACTTGAGATGTAACAAACGAGACATTGCGGATAACTACGAATGGTTTTCTCGACCTGATCCATATTTCTCTATTCGATGCATCTAATAAATCATAAAATGCTTGTGCGTAAGGGTTTGGGTCTTCGTCCGTGTTAGACGGATTAAAAGATGAACCAACCGCATCCATCACCATTGTGTGGTATCGATTAACTTGACGATCATCACATATTTGTTCTTGTTCAACATTATTAAGCGAATTGGCATTAATTGCTAAATCATTCTCTCCATGACGTCTCCACACATAATACCCGTACACAAACCCATATCTAAGCAAATGATACTTAACGGTATCGTGGTTTTCATAACTACGATTTTGATATTTTTTTGTTTACATGGACATCGTATCTTATTTTCATCCATGCACCGTGGATAACTAACCGCAGAGTTAATAAATTCATTAACCCCTTCTACAAAACGCTCATTTAATAATCCACCAGCTTAATCTAAAGTCAATTCAAGAGCGATTCAAATTCATTTTAAACAAAATAGTTATAAAGTAACCGTATTAATTGTTTATGTAATTACTTAAATAACTTTTATTACTAAATCTAAAATCTTTTTTTTGTTACACACAAGTTATTTTCTAAATATATAAACAACCTAAGTTTAGAAAAAAATGTTAAATACAACTTAATTATTTATTTAATTACTAACAATTACAAATTTTTCCTATAATTTTATTTTTTATCTATTTAAAATTTTTTTAAGGAAATTTTTAAATACAACTTAATTATTTATTTAATTACTAACAATTACAAATTTTTCCTACAATTTTATTTTTTATCTATCTAAAATTTTTTTAAGAAAATTTTTTAAATACAACTTAATTATTTATTTAATTACTAACAATTACAAATTTTTCCTATAATTTTATTTTTTATCTATTTAAAAATTTTTTAAGAAACTTTTTTAAATAACTCTTAATTATTTATTTAATTACTAACAATTACAGATTTTTCCTACAATTTTATTTTTTATCTATTTAAAATTTTCTTAAGGAAATTTTTAAATACAACTTAATTATTTGTTTAATTACTAACAATTACAAATTTTTCCTATAATTTTATTTTTTATCTATTTAAAATTTTCTTAAGAAACTTTTTAAATACAACTTAATTATTTATTTAATTACTAACAATTACAAATATTTCCTATAATTTTATTTTTTATCTATCTAAATTTTTTTTAAGAAATTTTTTTAAATAACTCTTAATTTTTTATTTAATTACTAACAATTACAAATTTTTCCTATAATTTTATTTTTTATCTATTTAAAATTTTCTTAAGAAACTTTTTTAAATACAAATTAATTATTTATTTAATTACTAACAATTACAAATATTTCCTATAATTTTATTTTTTATCTATCTAAAATTTTTTTAAGAAAATTTTTAAATAACTCTTAATTATTTATTTAATTACTAACAATTACAAATTTTTCCTATAATTTTATTTTTTATCTATTTAAAATTTTCTCAAGAAACTTTTTTAAATACAACTTAATTATTTATTTAATTACTAACAATTACAAATATTTCCTATAATTTTATTTTTTATCTATCTAAAATTTTTTTAAGAAAAGTTTTTAAATAACTCTTAATTATTTATTTAATTACTAACAATTACAAATTTTTCCTATAATTTTATTTTTTATCTATTTAAAATTTTCTTAAGAAACTTTTTTAAATACAACTTAATTATTTATTTAATTACTAACAATTACAAATTTTTCCTATAATTTTATTTTTTATCTATTTAAAATTTTCTTAAGAAACTTTTTTAAATACAACTTAATTATTTATTTAATTACTAACAATTACAAATATTTCCTATAATTTTATTTTTTATCTACCTAAAATTTTTTTAAGAAATGTTTTTAAATAAATCTTAATTATTTATTTAATTACTAACAATTACAAATATTTCCTATAATTTTATTTTTTATCTATCTAAAATTTGTTTAAGAAATGTTTTTAAATAACTCTTAATTATTTATTTAATTACTAACAATTACAAATTTTTCCTATAATTTTATTTTTTATGTATTTATAATTTTTTTAAGAAAATTTTTAAATACAACATAATTATTTATTTAATTCCTAATTATAATTACAAATATTTCTAATAACTTTATTTTTTATTTATTTAAAAATAATTTTAGAAAATTGTTTAAATTTATTTTGTACTAACCTAACGCTTTAACTTAATGAACTAGGAATTACAGAAATTAATAATGTTTTCAATAAATTGTGAATTACTTAAGTAAATTAACAATTATTAGCTAGACTAATAACAATAACAATAATAATTTAACTAACAATATAAAATAAAATATAACAATTATATTTTCTAAAAAAAATTTAACAATAAATTAAAGTAAGTAAATTAACAATTAATAATCAAATTAATTTAATCAACAATTTAAAAATAATAAAACAAAATTAAAAAGTTAACAATAATATTCAGTTAATTAATAATTAACAACAACATTAACGTAACAATTAACAATTAAACATTTTAATTAACTCTCACAATTTACACTAAAATAACACACAAAATAAATTTTAATTAAATAATCAAATTAAAAAAACACATGCAATAAACAAACAATTCAATAATTAAACTAGCAATAATAAGTAATTAAATTAAATTAAAATAAAATCTAATTATTTGACATAAATAAATAATTGAAAAAATTAATAATTGAAAAGATGGTTTAGATTTAGGTGCACCTGTCACCAAGAGAAGGAGTGGGAGAAACCACCGGAAAAAAAGCCTCGTCGGAATATGGTCGCCGAAAAATGGCAACTTCAACGGAAGAGAGAAAACTTGAAAGGAGGAGGAAAAAGGAAAGAAATATGGAGATTTTAAGGAAACAATAGCTTTGATGAGAGAGATCAAAGGATTGGAGAAGGAAAAGGCATAGATTCGTTGCGGAGGAGAAGAAAATAGAAAATGGCGATTCCGACCGATCGCTATTTATAGAAGGGTAAAGTTTTTAGCGACGGTCCCGGACCGTCGCTAAACCGTGGCTAAAAGTAAATTCGAAATTTAATTTGACCATTTCCCACTAACGAGTTACTTTTAGCAACTCGTTTAGCGACGGTTTGGGACCGTCGCTAATATAACGTTGCAACGGTTATTTTGCAACCGTTAAACAACTTACCAACGGTTTAGCGACGGTCCTAGATCGTCGCTAAACGAGTACTAAAAGTAACCGTTGGTGGGAAACGGTTGCAAAATAACCGTTGCAACGTTACCGTCGCTAAAAGTAGATTTGGCGACGGTTTAGGACCGTCGCTAAAAGGAATATTTTGGCAACGGTTTAATAACACCAAACCGTTGCTAATTTTCCATTTGGTAACGGAATAGCGACGGGCATAGACCGTCGCTAACAATATTTTTTATTTAGGCTTTTTTTTTATAAAACCTCTGAAAAAATATTAAATAACGATTACCAACGGTTTTAGCAACGGGCTAAACCGTTGCTAAATGTACCAACGGTTTAGCAACGGTTTTGACCGTTGCTAAAATGGTTAGCCGATAAAAGTAGCAACGGATTATGGACCGTTGCTAAAAACCATCGCAAAATTTAATTTTTGTAACTATTTTTTAGACGGTTGCTAAAGTATGAAAAATTGTTGCTAATTTAGGTATTTAGCGACGGTTTGTGGACTCGTCGCTAAAACTTATTTTTGTTGTAGTGTATCATCTTATCTTTTATTTTATGTTGAATAATAAATAATATTTAGACAATGAATACTAATAATGGATATTCAAAATCTGATATTTTATGGTGAATAATAAATAATATTTAGATAATAGATACTAATGGATATTCAAAATCTGATATTTTAAGTTGAATAATAAATAATACTTGGATCATAGATATTCAAATAAATATTTTAAATCTGATGGATTACATATAAATATTTAAAATTTGATGGATTGCATATCAATATCTAAATTTTTCCAATATGAATAATGGATATACATGCATGGATATTGATTTGAGTATAGGTATACTATGTCCATAGAAAACCAACCCATTGATATTTGAATTTTCCTTAAATATTCTTAATAACGTCAGCTTCATGCAAATATGGCAAGTTATAGTAAGATTGATCTTTGGTTACTGGCCCATAGTATCCCTATATATAGAATATGAAGAACCTGATGCTATTCACTTGAGATTTAGTATAATAGTAGTAAAAATGGTGAGAAATTGTTGTTTTGCTTTGAATTACAAATTTCTTATAGTCATTTCCACTTTTTTTTTTTAATTAACCTAATTCATCTACATGATCATTAATTGGTACTACTATATCAATTCTAATTTTATAGAAGTGCCTATGGCACCTTCACAGTATAAGGGGTAGGAAATGACGAGGGAGTGTCATTAATTAAATCTTTTATAAAAAAAGAAAAAAGAGTTCGTAAAATAAAATAAATAATAATTTTGTTTACTTTCCATGAGCTGAAACTATAAATATATTCCTTTTCTTTTTTGCAGGTGATGTTGCTAGCTACGTTTTTTATTTTTTGTATTGCTGCATCTAATATTGGCTTTGGAGATGCTCAAAAGCCCTTTAATGTGTTGGATTTTGGTGCAGTTGGAGATGGCAGAACTGACGATTCCCAAGTAATTAAACCGTTTAATCCCAATCTCTCTCGCTCAAAAATAAATAAAAAACTTTAATCCAATGGTTTCAATGTGACTTTTAATTTCTGTTCAAATATTATCTTCTCTCTTTATCCCTATTTTTTTCTTTGGTTCAAACTTTTTTCTTTACCATCTTATACTTTTTCTGAAAAAACAAAACAAAAAGAATAATTTAGAAGAGAACTTTCATTAACTATGGCTGTTTGCATTGAAAAGGCGTTTATAAAAGCATGGGAAGCCCTCTGTGGAGCCAGTGGAGGCACAGCAACACTAGTAATACCAATCGGCTATACATTTTTATTGAAACCTGTAAAATTTGAAGGTCCCTGCAAGTCCAATACGGTTCACATTCAGGTATGACTATGGAACTACGATATTTTGACTTGAAATCCTTTATATCCTCCATTTCGATAATATAATTAGCTTATAATTGTTTTTCATATATTTTTTTTATTACCATTTATGTTTAGACCTGCCATGAATTCTTCTCTTTATGTTCTAAAGAGATTGACTCTTTTTTCACTTATATCTATCTCAAAATTCTTATCTCATCAAAGTTTTTAATACTGTAATTTCTTAAAATATCTTTATTTTATAATCTAGGATTAAATTGGATAGATTTTCTTCTTAAAAAAAATATTTTACAAAATTATTGTTAAAAAATGCTCATATAATATTATAATTAATAATTTTTTTTAAAAAAAATATGTAAAAAAATCAAAATATACTATCACTTTAAGACAGAGAAAATATATAATATGGGATCATGAATTCATCCTTATCTTTCGTTCTGTATATAATCATCAATTCTTACAGGTAGCAGGGAACATTGTAGCACCCAGGACAGTCGCTGCTTGGAGTAGCTGTGGAACTTTGTGCTGGCTATGCTTCTACAGCGTAAACGGTCTAATTCTAGATGGATCAGGCCAAATTGATGGTCAGGGTTCAGAGTGGTGGAAAGCTGTAATGTATCGTTTTCCAATTTTATATATGCATTATACCATCTTTTAAATTTAAAGCTTTTCATCAATTTAATCAAGAAATTATTGGCTCTTTTCCAGGGACAGCAGTGCAAGCCACCGGCCAAGGTGCCCATTATTTCAGGAGGAAAAATTCATCATCATCTTTAGTACCATAAAAATAAAATAAAAATCAAGTGAAATTCCTATTAGAAAATACTAACTTAAGTTTTAAATGTGATATCTCCCAGTTAAAATCTCGAATACTAACTCTTAACAATTGATGGTTAGAAGTTCAATTAGGGGTGAGTACTATTTGATTTAATCCAAAAAACTAAATCGAAAAATAAAATTTGGTTTGATTTTTAACTCAAAATAGAAAAAAAAATCGAACTGAGTTTATTTTAATATTTTAGTTTTTCAATTTTGATTATGTTTTTGAAACTATTGGTTCGGTTTTTATTGAAAACTAATTTTTTAAAATTATTTTTGTATTATAACTTTTGATTGTTATTTGAACTTTGATAATTTTGTTTACAACATATTTAAACAATCGTTATTTTTATGTCATTATAGATTTTAGATATGGATTAATGGACTTGCATTTAAATTTTGATACTTTATTATGTGATAGAACACATCACACATTGAATAGTTATACTAAAGATGATTAATATATAAAGTTGAGAAAATATCATACACTATAAGACTCAAAGTTTTTTTTGGATAGAACTCAATCTCAACTATCTAATTTTATATGATATCGAGCCGTAAAAAGGTACAACGGCTAATCAAAAATTCTGAAGGCCAAATCACTTGATAGAACTCAAAAGATTGTCCGCAAATAAAAACGAATGTTAAAACACATATTTTATATTAAATAGTTAAATAAAAAATGATTAACATATAAAGTTGAAAAATAACTATCCATCATAAGACTTAATTTTTTTGAATGAAACTTAATTTTAACTATTTAACTCTATAGTTTTGTAAACTAATAAATAAATATTTATTATTTTTTATATAAGCTAATTTACATCGATTGAACTAGAGAAAAGACTCTATAGTCCACAACATATTTTGTTTATTTATTTATGACATTAGTTTAAAAGTTTTAAAAAATTCATAAAAAAATTCTATTTTAATCGATAAATCGAATAGTAATTCGGTTCGGATTTATTTTTTAAAATGTAAGGAGTAAAATTCTCACGAATCTTATATTCATCTTGGCTTCGATATCCAGAGATATCATATTAAACTTCATATGAAAAATCTGATCCAATAAATACTATTTGATTGTTAAAAAAAAAAAACAGAACGCAAAGGACAATCATAGGACATTCTAAGTTTCATTGGGGTGTAAGAAAAAGAAATGAATGCACCATTCACCTATTTTAGCAGAAATTATTTCATGAACCCTGCTTCGCTGTGAATTTTGTCTTGACAAAGAAAAAAAAATGCTAAAATTATGTGTAGATCTCCTTCCTTTGTTGTTGGACGTTGTCTTTGGGGAATTGAAGCCGGCTCACCCCATATTGATTTTAAAGCTCTTAATTTTTATTTATATACCAGCCTTATACTTGATTACAATATTATCGCAGGCTCTATACTTTCACGACTGTAATAACCTTCAATTAAATGGACTTAATGTTATCAACAGTCCAAGAAACCATGTCAACTTGAATGGTTGCAAGGGTGTCTTCGTCTCTGGCCTTAAAATTACTGCACCAGGAGATAGCCCTAACACTGATGGAATCGATATGACTGATTCTAGCCTAGTTAACGTGGTTGACTCTACAATAGGAACAGGTAGTAAATTTGAATTCTCCATCAATTTCTTTAATTAGCTCATCAATTTATTATTATCATGACAATCAGTAATTCTAATACAAAAAAAAAAAAAAAACGACTTATAAATTATTATGTATAGGTGATGATTGTATTGCGGTAAATGGGGGCTGCTCCAGCATCAACATTACCCACGTTAACTGTGGACCAGGTCATGGAATTAGGTATATAATTAAAAGAAAACTATATATATATTGACAAATAGGGGCAACGTAAAACTGAATTTCTATGTTACAAAATGTTTTGATCAGCATTGGAAGTCTAGGACAAAATGGAGCTACTGATCAAGTGGAGGAGGTGCATGTTCGAAATTGTAACTTTACTGGAACTGAGAATGGAGCAAGAATCAAGACAACACCGGTATACAACAGCACAAGATCAACAATGCAAAATAATTCTGAAGACAAAACATATTTTTAATGTAAGATGGATGTGATGACTTTTCCTAGTAATTATTATGAACGTTGTTTTTCCAGGGGGATCAGGGTATGCTAGGAGGATCACATTCGAGCAAATAACGCTTAATGCAGTTGGAAACCCTATCATAATTGACCAACATTACTGCGATGGAAAGCGCTGCCCCGAGAAGGTAAACTAATTCACCTTTTAATCAAGTTTATATTTCATTGAAGTTTTTAAGTGGAATGCAAGCTGATGTTCGTGAAAAAACTGATAATCCACAGGCAAAGGCAGTTGCCGTGAGCGACGTGACATTTACAGGTGTCCGGGGAACATCTTCTGATGTGCAAGCAATTACGTTGGATTGTGCAGGAATAGGTTGCAGCAACATCAGAATGAGTCAAGTCACTATCACCTCATCGGTGGCTGGGAAGCAGACTACTGCAGTTTGCAGCAATGCTCATGGAACATCTAGCTCCACAACACCCGCGGTTCCATGCCTCTCAGGCAAAGGAATTGCTAGGAAATTTTTGACACTAGCTAGTTAATGTAAGTATTTGGCCACACTTAGAAAATATGTAGTACTTGGTTTTGCTGGACAAATAATAAATCCCTAGACAATCTGATCTGACAATGAAATATATGTATGAAACCGATTCCTACCTTCTTTAGGATTTTCTATGTCATGATCAAAACAACAATAAGAAAAATGATGTTTCTATATATGCCTAGTTCATTAGTATCCCTTTGTGTTTGTATCAAATATTCAATCAAGAATACTTGTCTTTGAAGCGAGAAAATTTATATCTTTAAAGTAACATTTATCCTCACTATGAATGTAGTTTTCTATTGGATTTATGACAAAAATACTTCCAGGACACAGCAAAACCACCAGCAGTTCAATGGATACACAACAAAATACTCTTCTTAGAATTTTATAAAAAGATGTTTTTATAAAGAAAAGAAGAACGAAAAGCTGTACTAGAAGTCGAACATAAGATAATTATGTTAGGTAATTAAATATGCCTAATGATATAAATACAGTAAAAATTAATAAGATACATATTTTCTGTCATGATTGATTAAGTGTAAAGAGTTAAAAGTTCTTTTTTCTGGATTATCCTGGCTTTTATATGTAAATTCATCTTAGCCAATAAATTAAAAGCTAATTTTAAGTGTCAAGAGTTACTACTTTTGTAAGTCTGATAAACGGACACATTTCAATTAGATACGGTCTTAGCAAGCGATACATGCTTATTTTTGGGGAGAGGATATAAATATAAGCTGTAAGTAGCTGTCGTTTGTCAAGTTTTTTTTTTTTTTTTTTTTTTTTCACAAAAGCAATTATAAATATACGAAATAAAACTTGGAAAAAGGATCTAAACACTGCCATAAAGTTTGAAGAAAATTAGACTTGGTGAAAGTTGATAGCCAAAAAAAATGAGCTCCTGAACACTCAAAAAGCAGATTTTATTTTGGGACATTCTTTCATCACATGACTTCAAGATACGCTTATGTTATTGTTGAATAATATCTCACTCTTTAACTCGATGGGGTTTCTTTGACAGGCATTCTGTGTAGCCATATTAGAAGCTGCTAGTTGTGGGTTATTGACAGTAAGTACACTCGTAGGAGGCGTACCTGAGGCATGTATCATGAAAGGTTTCTTCTCTATCTAGCTAACATGATATCATATACTTGTCACTTTTTTATTGAAATTCTGGTAATCTTAAATCATATATACATCTAATCGGCTACTTCTCTTGATGTTAGGTTGTGCCTGAGGACATGATTGTGCTTGTGGAACCAGATCCTAGTTAGTGATATGGTTAGAGCAATTGGAAAGGGGATATCTCTACTTTCGAATATTGACCCGCAGCTGATGTATAATCATGTGAGTGATCAAGCCATTAATAATCACTTTCGTCTTCCTAAGAATATCATAATAACTATTCATAGTGGCTGAATGTTTGTGTAACACCCCGATTTAGAACGTGTGTGTGTATAACTAACTTTCGTCTTCCTAAGAATATCATAATAACTATTTATAGTGGCTGAATGTTTGTGTAACACCCCGATTTAGAACGTATATATATGTGTGTGTTCTGTTAAACATGTAATAATTATGTTTCATGTATAAATAAAATATATGTTTTAGACTTATATAAAATTATGCTTAAGTTTGTTTATGTTAAATTATATAATTTTGCATGATTAAGTTGCTAAGAATTAAAGTTATGTGGAGGATTAAGTTTATGTATACGTTGCTTGAATAATTTAATTATTTAATATATTTATTAATATTTAATGCTTACATAGAAAATAAATTCATGCGTGCATAAATATTATGAGAGATGAATTTATTTAATGATTGCTTAATAAGTTATAAGATCAATTGTTGAGGTTTTAATAATTTAAGAGTGTAATTGCAAGAATTTAGAGATTTAGTTGTACAATTAAAATATTTGAGTGCTTAATTAAAATAATTAAAAAATTCCAATGACCACTATGAATTAGGAAAAGCTAGATAGGGGCTGGATCATGGAAAATTAGAAGTTTAGGGACTGAAATTGAAGGATTTGATTGAACTAATTACAAGTTTAGGTATCAAAATGTAAGATTTTAAAAAATTAATTGACCATTTAATTCTGCATAAATTGGTCCTTTGTATCTAGATTCAAGCTGGAAAAACAAAGAGAAAGAGAGGTTGGTAAGTCGACAAAATAAGAAGAAATTGATAAAAAAAAAGAGAGAAATTAAGAGAATTCTAGAGAAGAGGCATTAAATGACGGATAGAGGGATTAATCTAAGTGTGTCAAACTTGGAAAAATTATAAGGAAATCATCCTAATTTGGCAAGAGGAAGAAGAAGAGTGATATAAACTTGATATTTCAAGGTAGAACAAGTTGAATTCAAGGCAATTTCAAAACAAATTAAGCCTACCCACTACCTAAAACCACCTAGATCACTTTAGATACACCCCAAATTCACTCTAGAAACATTTGAAAGAATCAAACATAGAAGAAGGAGAAAGTGGAGGTTTGGCCGATACATTGAGGAAGAAAGAGGAGAAAACTTCAAGCAACCTAGGAGGAATTTGATCAAGCATCAAGTGAGGTAAGTGTAGTCCTCGCTACTTTACAAGAAAATGATAAATTGTGAACTCGATTGTTCAAATTGTTGGATTTTGGTGTAATTGATTTATTTTGATGAATTATTGATGGAAATGAGTTTATAATGGTTGATTGTTCATATTTATTGGCTTAATTGAAGTAGGGTTGATGAATTAAGTTTGGGTAATTGGAATTGGAAGTTCCGGCTAACTTGATGAATTTGGGAAAAAATATTAGATTTCATGATTTGGTGATGTTTAGGTGGATTAAGCATGTCTAAAAGCATTTGATTGAAAACTTGGTGTGGAATACTTTTATTGTTGATTTTGACCATAATCCTTAAAATTAGATTAATTGAGTTAATTAATGCAATTGGATTAATTAAGTGTTTCTATGTTAGATTTATTGTGATTAAATGTGTTTGAATGACCTAAATTGATGAATTTCAAGTTGGTTGTTCTTGTCGTCTTATTTGGCCAAAGAACACTAAGTTAGTGATAATGGAACTAATTGATGTATATGTTGATTTATGGATTAGATGAAATAATTAACATGCAAATAGTTGATTAAATGAGAAAAATACTTCTTGGTTTCATGATGAGATTAATTCGGTCAACATGTTTAATGAAGGGTATTAGTCTAATTCCATGATTTTGGTAATGGATTAATAATTGTTATGTTATTCATGTAAGAATTGATAATGTGTTTTATGATTAATTTGTGTTTGGTTAATTGGGATGGATTTGTTTGGTATATTCAGCCAAGTTTAGATAAGTGTATGTGTTGATGTGACTTTTTCATGTTATAAAATAATTATGTTAATTATAGGGTGTATGATTAATTAAAAATGAATTCATGTGATATTTAATTAATTTCATGTTGAAATGGTTATTGAATAGTTCATGGTAGAATTTGGCCTAATGCCTAGTTTGTTGGTCTTGATGTTTAATCATGAAAAATGTTTGTGAAAGTGGATGTTGATTGATTATTTGAAGATTCAAGTTTGATAAAAGTTGATGTTCATGTTGTGATTAATTAGGTAGTGTTACAAGGATTTGTTTATTGTTGTTTTAAGTGTTATATGGTTGATTATGCAATTATCATATTTGTCATGCATTTCATGACATGATTTTCAGCATGTTTTATGGTTTTTAAAGACAATAATCAAGTGCACGGACTTTCTAAGAAATGGCTAGGAATATCTTAATCATGACATACAAAGAGAATGATCTAGTGTAAACTCTTTGTGAACGTCATAGATTTCACAGGGAACATATCTAGTGTTTTTCATGTTTTCACAAACATGGATAGCTGAATATATATATATTTGATAGGGTGCAACCGATCATAGAAAACATATTTTTAAGATCACAAAATGTATTTCATTGCATCATGCATACATGACTAAACTTATTGAGTATTACTCATCTTTTATTTCTTGTGGTCTACGTGAAAAAAAGGGTCATGGTAATGGTGTGAATCAAGTTGCTGAAGGAAGACCGATTTGCTAGAATGTGTACTTAATAAATTAAAAGTGAGTGAAGAAATCTTTTTTTTTCCCTTTTATAGTATATTTTGGACTTAATGTGTGCTAGGTTTAGCACTTAAAAGTTTGTAAGATAATGGTATTTTAGACCAATTTTGGATACTAAATAAATGATTGTGCTTGCTTGAGTTTAATTAAAGTTTAAATGAATAAATTTAATGGTTAGACTAATTAAATGGTTTAAAGAATTAATTCGATTCATAGATTTAATGGCTTAGCTTAAATTGTTATGAATAGTTAATTGGAATTAATATGTTGATAGCAATTGTGTTCAATTGGTTAGAAATATTTGAGTTTAATGAATTAAATTTAATCGATTTAATTCTTTTAATTGTAATAGTTGTTTTCTAAGCTTAAAATGATTTTCAAAAGGTTAATCCATAAATTAGGTTTCAAAGGGCTAAATTAAAGATTTAATTGAGTAAATTGTTTGATTTTCTAACTTAAAGAATTTTTATCAAATTAAAGAAATATAATTTTAAGATATGAACTAGTTTAATTAATGACTAAATAAGTAAAGGAAAATTGACTATTTCTAATTAATTGGGTTATTTGGCAATTAAATTCGGATTTTAAAGAAAATTTATGGGAATTTAATATAATTGAATTAGATTAAATTGATCAATTCACTTTATTATTTAATCTGATTTTTTATTAAAGGATTGAGAAAAATTAAAGGGGCAAATTAACTTACTTTGATTTAAAGTATTTTATTAAGTATTAAAATTAAGTTTTATGATTTTAAGTTTTTACGCAAAATTTTTTAATAGTATTTCTATATAATTGACAAAAGAGTACTTTTATAAAAAAAATTTATTTTGAAAAAAAAATTATACTTAACTTAAAATAAAGGTTGGACCCAAGTAGTTATATTTAATAGGCTTCGATC